CTCTTCAATACCCAACAGCAAGAAAAAAGAAGATTAGGTAAGTACCTTATTTCTTGGTTTTCATATTTTTCTTTATTTATTATTATAAAAGTAACTAAAATCTAAAAATACAGATCTTTTTAAGTTATTTAAGACTAGATTAGGTAAAATAAGTAATAATAATATAATTAATATGGTTCATGAGGTACACATGCGAGTTGCACGTTTCCCAAGTGATTTATAACATATAATGGTGCAGATAGTAGTTTTACATGGTCCAAAGGGCAATAAAACAATAAAATTTAATTATAAATAGATATATACTGTTCCAAACTTGGAGCTACTTGGGATAAATGAATGTAGTCTCATGTTACAATTTGAAGTCATTGTAGAAAGAAAAAAAGAGTAATATAGGTTTCTTTTGATTTTTTTTTAGTGGTTACAAGGTCTGTCAAAATGACCAATCCCATTTTGAGATAGGGTAGAGAAAATAATAGATATATTATAAAGTTTTACTGAAAAAAATCGTTTGAAATGCATTTAGGAGGTTTTTAGGGATTACACAAAGGAAATTTGAGATAAGGAAAAGTATTTTTAGTTTTAACATGAAAATTGGTGTGCACATGGACTATTCAAAACGTATACTCAATATATCAATAGACAAATCTATTATTTTATTAAAAATACTTCACTGAAAATATGATTTTTTGTATGTGAAAGACTTATAATATCAGCTAAAAGACTGCTAAATTTTGTGAAGATATACACACTATATTGAAAGTTATAAATATTAAATCTATAAAGACTTTAATTGAGTACAAAGAGGTCATGTGATCAGTCAAATTTACTGAGCCCTTGTTGAAAGAGTTACAGCAATGAGCAAGTTGATAAAAACTATGCAAAAGAGTTATTGTATTGGGATATAATCTTAATTTTTAAAACATGTTGATAATTCACACATTGTCCATATATTAGTGCTGCCTGTGTACTGTTATCATAACTTGCATGGAAACTGAACCCAAACAACAAATTTTCTCTGTAAGTACACAGCTGTAGTATTATTGTGCAGGGTAGTTGCTGCTTAGAATCATGTCAAACTATGTATGTGACACTGATATTGTAAACTTTTTAATATTATAATTTTTTGATATTGTTGCAGAATGATATTTTAGCTACTTTTATTGTAATTACTTTCCAGTTTGTTAAAGGAAAATTTGTGTCTGTATACAAAGGGTTAAGTACCTTATATTAAAATGATTCTGAATGTGCATATCAGAAAGTTGCAGGACAAACACAAGGTATAAAGTTGTGATGGAATATTGTATATCAGAATTACATTTTGGGAAGGGTGTGTAAAAGCTCTTTCTGCTGTACAGTATTGTTACACTCGGTTTATGAAAATGTGTTCAGATTGGGGATTTAGAATTTCCAAGCTAAGGATATCCCATATACTTAATTGAAGTCTTAAAGAAAGATTTTTGTGTGTTTATGTTAAAATGATTTTGAATATGCAAATCAGAAAGTTGCAGGATAATCACAGGTGATGTAAAGTTGTGATGGAATTATATGTATCAGAGCTACATTTTAACATTGTTTGGCCTATTGTAGGTATTGTTGTGCTGTATAAAATAGATAAATTTTGGGAAGGGTATGTAGCAGCCCTTTCTGCCATAAAATATCCATACATTCAGTTCATGACGAATTTTAGAAGGCTTAGTTGAATAACTAGCTTCAGAAATGAATACTTAATCCAGGTATGTTGATAAACTTTTAATACTGCATTAACCCTTTCGCAACAGGCTCATGTCTTTTACAGAATGCTGTATCAGGAATTTCGCTTGTGCAACAATACATACTGTAACTCTGCGATTTCCTGATGTATACTCTCAAAAACTGGTAAGATTTTGTTAAAGATCATAAGTATCTTGTACACAAAGAATGATGCTATTTTAATTAAATGTTTTTCTTTAAAATGTTATTTATTTCTTGTGGGTACTTGCACTCAAACTCTTAATAAATCAAGTGCAGGGTGATTTTCATTTTAATTATAAAAATTACTTTTCTTCATCTTATGGTTTCATAATTCATTTTTATGACCTCTAGAACCTACTAAATGAATATCACAAGTTTTTTAAAGTTAAATGTATATATATTATTTTTCATTTTCTCTACCATATCACTAATTCTAGCTATTATCATCAATATACAATGTAATGAAATAATTAAAATTAGGAAATAGAAAAAAGTATATACCTTTTAATTTTTTGTAGACTATCTTTAAAGATCTTCTTTTGGTTATATTTATAATTTCAGGTTTTTTCCTTTTCATATATACTTAATTTTTATATTTTATTTTCCTTTCTTGTCCTTTACCATTTATTATTATTCTTGACACAAGCTAATGGTGCCCTCAGGGGAATATTACAAATCTCTGCAAGAGAAGCACGACCCTTCTGCAAAATTTTTTTGCACTGCATAATATTGTAAGCCTTGATAACTGATGCAGAGTATGATGTATATTTTAAACAAATTTGAAACCTTTCAATTATGCATTTTGAAACATAAATAATTCATAGTTAATTAAGATATAAAAGTAAGACCTAAATACAATTTAAACTGTATCTCTAACTATAACATATTTAGGTAAGAAACAACTGTAAGTGCTGTAGTCGATCAAGCAGCCAACAATACTAGAGGCAGTTACATGTACTGCATGACAAAAAATGCAAGCCAGTTTCAAAATAACGTTTTTTGTATGTAGCATGTAGGCTATAAAACTCAAACAAATTTATTGAAGGTTGGCATGGCACTATTCAGGTGTTGACAAAATTTATTACTTGTTTCAACTGCATTCATCCAGAGAACTTTGAAATGTACATGTCAATAGGTTAAGTAAATGTCTTATTGTCTGGATGTACATCTACACAACTGGCATTATATTATTGAAGGTACAGAATGCCAAAGTAGATAATTTTCAAAGCTTGTGGGTTGTGACAATACATCTGAAGTTTCAAGTAGTTTTTTTAAAGGTTTCTTTTAAAATAAAAGACTTAAAATTTAGATACATAAAGCTTCAATCATAACATTATAATGTTAAATACATTGATAGTAAAGGTGTTTAATTAAATTTTCATTGTAACAAGTGCTTATGATCATTCAGTTAAATGTTCAGTATGAAATAAAGAGATTTCCACCATTCCTCTCTAACAAAACTGCAGTTAATTAAGGTAGAAAAATATTTGAAGAAAATTTCTTCTGCACTTAAGTGATGGCTGGCAAATGAAGCTACCACAGAAAGCCTTTCAGTCGTATATAAAGTCATTGTTTATATGTTTATTTTTTAAAAGGATGATAGACCAGACAGAAATAAGGAAGGAATTTCATTTTTAGGAATAATTATCATGTAATTTGTTGCATCACTGATGAAATGTTATGAATTTGGACTTCATGAAAATGATCACCAAATATAGGTGACAAAGCTCAAAAGAAAAGTAAAATTACATTGGTTTTAAAGTTATATCTTTAGAGTAATAGACCAGTTAACCTCTTCTCTTGAACCACAGCTGTCTAATAAAGTACATAAGATATACACATTCCATAACTATACAGCTAAGTTATTCTTACCATCAATCGTACAATATAATATTCTGTTACTCTTTACAGATAAAAATAAAGTGTGTGTGTGTGTGTATTTATTTCCCACGAATGTTTAATCATTTTATTCACATCTTGTTACTAGTCAATTTTTAAGACAGTGAGCTTTTACTTTTTCTTTACTTGAGAAAAACATTAAATCTCAAGGAATTTGTTTAAATTCTGTTAGCCACCTGTGACATTTCCAACTTGAGTTTTTTCTTTTATATCTTGTCTTTTTCTCATCTTTATGATGAGTGTCAGTACTTAAGCACATAACACTGTCATAAAAATATAGTAATTATAAGAAAATTAGATTGTATGACACATATGGATACTTTGATGTTTTCAGTGTGTTTTTTTTTTTTTTTAAGTCATCTGTTATTAAAGTTGAATTAGTGTTTATGGATTTAAAAAAATAATTTTTTTTGCTTCAAGACTTTTCAAATGTCAGTCAGTGGAGGTGTTGTTTGTCACCAATCCTAATTCTAGCTAAATTTTGGGAACCGTACTTTTAACTCTCTCAATACAGGCTCGGTCAATTTGACCGACCATGTGACCTCTTTGTACTCGTTTAAAGTCTTTATAGATTTAATACTTCTAACTTTCAATATAGTTTGTATATCTTCACAACATTTAGCAGTCTTTCAGTTAATATTATAAGTCTTTCACATACAAAAAATCATTTAATAAAATAAGATTTGTCCATAAATATATTGAGTATTTGTTTTAAGTATTCAATGTGCAAAGTAATTTTCATGTTAAAATTTAAAATGCTTTCCCTCGTCTCAAATTTTTTAACAGTATACATCTACTTATAATTAAATTTTATTGTTTTATTGCCCTTTGATCTGTGTCTCTTACTACTATCCATGCATTATAACTTGTAAATCACTCAGGGAAAGTGCAGCTCATGTTAAGCTAACGAATTACATTACCCACAAGCTACTACTATTATTTATTTTACCTAATCTAATCTTAACTAACTTACAAGGGTCCCTATTTTTGCATTTTAATTACTTTTATAATTAGACATAAAGAATAAACATGAAAAACAAGAAATATATCGCTTAACCAATCTTTTTTTTTCTTGCTATCATTTGTCGAAGAGAGTTAACCCTAATTTTTTATACTAATGATAATAATGCACTTAATAATTTTTATTTATTTAAATAATGTACCAAAGAATATAGACTAATAACATGCAAAAAGTAGACAAATTCTCTTACCTCTCAAAATTTTTCTGGCTTTCTAATTATGTGACAAGAGTTGTTACAAATTCATCTAACCTAGTCGTTAACTTTCTCACGGGAACAATGTTGGTACTCTGAGTGAAACTGTCATTGAAAACTTCAGAACATAATGTTATACAATACATCATTTGATAGATGAAAACCGTGAATTTCTATTGGTTATAGGTAATATATAATTAAACATAAGAGAGAACTATGAACAAGTTGTGAAAGAGAGGATGTGACAAGTGGGTGTGGCAGGAGGGGTCTCATTTTGTATTCAATAGTTCTGTAATCATGCAAAATTGAAGCCTAAAAATTATGATTTGTCTGAGCAATAACGATTTTATAGAAAGTATTTTACATTTAATTTCGTACTTTTTCAAGGGGTGATGGATAAAATAGGGATGATGACATGCTAATACAAAATGTGTCATGTGGGTCAAACTAGTGGAAATTCATAATTTTTTTAATATTCCCTTGTAGAATTAAGAACTTAAAACTTGTATACCATTAAAATATGGACTATTAGCTGAGATTTTATGCTATTCTGATTGGTATAACATAAACAAAAAGTAGTTTAATAAAATTTTGAATGTAAGATACAAATACCTTGTGTCATGTGCAGTAAAAGATACCTGTGGCGATAGGGTAACATGTAATTTTTGAATACAGGCTGAGATAATTCAGAAACATTGCATTTTATAAACCTTGTTATCAATCTAAAAAAATATTGAATGGCACCATGTTGTAGTCCTTACGTATAGTACAATAGGAGTGTACAATGTTTCAGGATAGACTACTCAGATATTCAACAGTACTTCCCATATCCAGTTGTCTTGCAAGGGCTGTTTAACTTCTGCAAGGAAATCTTTGGAATAACATTCAAGGTAAAGTAATTATCTTCTCTCCTTTAACTGAGTTTAGAACAAGTTTTTATTCTGAATTAGATTTGGTACTACAAACATTTTCAAACTCAACAAAGGATAATCAGAATTTATAATCATTACTGTTATAATATCAGTCACCATTTCCCCCCTCTCAGTTCATAAATATGTAAATCAGGCATCTGATAATCAATATTGTGATTAGAAATGCAAGTGATCCATCGATATATATATACTATCATAATCATAGCAACTGTTAGTTGTTTGTCAATGGAACATGAGTTACCAAAAGTTGACCCATCCATTAGTTATTTGTCAGTAGAACATGAGTTACCAGTTATTTACTCATCTGTTAATTGTTTGTCAATGGGAACATAAATTACCAGTAATTGATCCATCTATTAGCTGTTTGTGAATGGGAACATGGGTTACCAGTAATTAGCTCATCAATTAGCTATTTATGAATGGGAATATAAGTTACCTATAACTAGCTCATCTGTGAGATATTTCTGAGTTACCAACATTGTACTACTTAATAAAGTTATATTAAGTAACTTGTATAAGTTGAGCACATTTTAAGTTCATTACAATGTTTAAGTAACCTGTTTTGAACTAGGAGGCAACTTCAGAAGTTGATGTTTGGCATCCAGATGTCCAGTTTTTCAAAATATATGATGAAAATGGTAAGATTAAATTAGCTGATAGAGTAATGTAAATTACAATAAATGAGTCATATTTTTAGTTGGTAATGTTTTAATTATTATATTTAATTTTATGTATGCTTTGTTGTGTATAAGATAACATTGATTTGGTATCCTTTACTTTTTTAATTATATCTGAAAAATTCAATAAACCAGGGTATTATGAGAGTTTGGTAGGGACTATGTTTATGTACCTATTCTTAAGTTTTAAATAAGATTTATGAACTCAAACATTACCATCCTTGCTTGTTTCTCAGAATCTTCATATATGCTTCATACTTTTAATACTTAGCCTCATGTGGATTTCTTTACTGCACCTTTTGGATATGTAACTTGACTTATCTATTATCTCTAGTCTTTTAGATAAAATTATTCTGTATTCAAGCACTTCAATTTTCATAATTTTTTACAAATAAAATGTATTAAAACTTGTTTTTCCCTATGTAACTTTTATTTTTTATTAATCCAAGTATGTTGAGGGAATATGTTAAAACAATTTTTCTTAACCATCAACAGAAATTGGCTAACCTCCAAGGGCTCTGCCCATTAAGTTTAATAATAGTTGTTGCTTAGAATTTAACCTACTTTATTATTATTGTTTTGGTAGATTACACCCCACCTGTGTGTGACTGTTTCAAAGCTAATTGTCAAAGACAAGGTGATTTTATAACTGTTGCCCAGACACTGATTTTACCTCAAGCTAAATGAGTAAAATAACTCCAGAACTGAGTGTTATTGAATTTCTTATTTGAAAAACAGAAAGAAAACATGAAGTAATGTTCTTTTCATATTCTTTTTAAATGATATCTTTTGGTTTTTTTATGCTCTAAGTAAGTTTTTTTGCTATATGTTTTATACTAGTTATTCAAGTTTGTGAATAATGCAGCATTGTGTTGATACATTAATATTGTGATAGAAACACCTTGAATGATTTAAAAACCTTATATTAATAACATTTTATCCTGAGTCTTAAACTGCAATATATTCTAATATTTGCCCACAGATTCCTACTTGGCATCATTTTATATAGATCCATACATAAGGCAAGGGCAGAAACTTCCAGGTGCCTGGATGGAGGCAGCTTGTAGTAAGTACCAATGATCACAGTTTTATCTGGAATATAATGGTTATGTTCTATTATCAGAAAATGGTAGCGCTCTTGAGCCTTAGAAGTCATGATTTATATTGTTACCACATTTATCTGCAACAATGTAACCATACCAAGTGAAGCTAAACTACTTCAGTTATTAGAAAGTAATTTTATATTTGAAAAATACATTTTTCTCTGAAATCTAATTATTATTTTGAATACAGATTTAGGTCCAGGTGCCATGAAAGTGAATTTCTGGAATTCCATTTTGTAAATGGTGCCACTGTACAATATGCTACTTGTACATTTACTCTAGTACGTAAATTAACCTTGCAACCTTCTTTGTCTCCTGTAGATGGTAGATCATGTTGTCCACTGAAACATGTAGAGCCTGTTTTTTGAACATTATACAAAGGTTATTGTGCATATGGAAACTTCATGTTTATTGAAAACCTACCTTACCTAAGGAAAATGAGTCATCACATTACTGCACAGAGGTCCCTGATTCCCTGCAGTTTTCACATAAACACATGATCCAGAAAACCATTGAATTGTTTGATTTTTAAGTTACCTTTGTTTCTTTGTTGTTCTCTTATAGGTAATACATACTGTGCCCATGAGGATATTGTTGCACCTATGTACATTGTGCAAGCAGTTTAGCAACAGCAATGCCTTTCACTATCTGAGTAGATAGTATCTAAAGATTTCACTATGTTGCATGAGAACAGCCAATCACATGAGTAATGTTAGTCATTATGAGTAAGTAAGGAGCATTGGTTTAACACAGTTCTTGGTTTTCAGTATGATTCGGTTGATGGAAAGACATCTTGTGAGACTAAATATGTTTAATGATTCACTGATCTGGTAGAAGGTGACAGTACTCTTTAATGTATCTGTTTAATGAAATAATTATTGAAGTTTTCTTTGCAGACAGAAGTAAGGCAGTAGGAACATCTCCACTCTCCTATATGATCTTCAGTTTTCCAAAACCTTCGTATCAGAAACCATCCCTTCTATCCTTTCATGATGTAGTTGCACTGTTTAAAAAGGTACTAATGCTGTTATTTGTCAAAGTAATGTTTTCAGTAACTATTAGTTTTTTAAGGATAAAGATAGATCAGTAAAACATTTTAATGTAAATTAGTGAACCTAGATTAAATTTAACATCTTAGGTCACTTGCTGACATAAAGTTTCTGTTGTGTGGTGACCCCTCTAACATGTTAAAGTTGTATGTAGTTTGTAACACTTCTCATGTTGTATTCCTGAGATATAATATTAAATGTTAATCTTTTAACATTTAATACTGTTCTATATAATGAAATATGAATGAATATTCAGGATATAAAGAGTCATGAGAGTTAGTTAAACTTAGATTAACTGAGAGAGAGAGAGAGATATAAATACAACCATATTAAATCATTGTTTCAAAAAACAGTGAATTAAAACTTGTATAACTTTTTTCTGCCTGAATTTTTGTAATATGCATTCATGTACTTAGTTGAATTGATTTTATAATAATTTGATTAAATTAAAATAGTCTCCATTTGGCAACAGTGGTTTTTCAAACTATGATAATTGGTAATTGTTTTAAGTAAAGTCAGAAAAGTTAATATTTTAAGTTATAACTATTATGAAGAATACATGTAAGGTTTTCAACTATGTGAGACCAATGAAACATTGCCATAAAAATAAATGTTACATTAACTTTTTCAATAACCTTAAAACCTTTAATAAAAGCTCAATTTACTTCCTGTTCTGTTAGAAACATATACAGTAAATATAAAAAATTGTTTTAATTTATTTTATAAAATGTTATTGCAAAAGTACTTTACTGTTAGATACAGATTTTATTTAAAGGTATACAGTAAATATAAAAAATTGTGCTAATTTATTTTATAAAATGTTATTGCAAAAGTACTTTACTGTTAGATACAGATTTTATTTAAAGGTATACAGTAAATATAAAAATTGTGCTAATTTATTTTATAAATGTTATTACAAAAGTACTTTACTGTTAGATACAGATTTTATTTAAAGGTTTTGTTATACACATAACCCCCAAAATATATCAGTTTCATTTACTTCATTTTGTTTGGTTTTATTGTTTATATAAATTACTTACTTCACATACTGTATTATTCTACCCCAGTGGCTCAGCTGTAAGCTTGAGAGAGCATATAATGCTAAAATTTGAGGTTGGATCCTGTGGTGGCACAGCCCATTGTCAGCTTTGTGCTTGTAGTATGCTAATACAACATGTATTATTCTCCCATAATGCATACTTTTTATCTTCAAAGTTTTTTTAAGTCCTAATTTTGGATCACTAAGTCTGGTTGTGTGCAAGATTTTATCTTTGGTTGTTACTTTTTGTAGCTTGACTGGTCAAGGAATTTATGTACTGTTTCACGGGATAGTTGTATTATACCTTTCTTGACCTTGTATTTGGGGGAAACCTTGTAATAATTACGAGGATCAAAGATACTTCCACACTTTGGTGCCCCTATTCGTGATTAGTCAGCTGCAGAGAAAATGTGTACTATTCATGCATTTTTGACAATCTGAGAACAGGTTCACTCTGACTTTCAAGAAAAGTAGCTTATTTTTGAGATGTCAGAATCCAGACATGTTTGTGAAATCCTTGTCCTTATCTCAGTGCACTTCTTTAATTCACAGTCATTTCACCTCCATTCATTCATACATTCACCTGTTTGTTAATGTTTCCCTCATGGCAGAAAATAAAGTATCTTATTTTTATTTTTACTTCAGCATTGTGTTTTTTCTCTTTCATTTCACCTGCAACAGATCACTACATATGTTTATCTGCATATTAGATCCACAAATCTTTAATTTTTGCATAGATTAAGTAACTGTGTGTAGGTATAACCTTGATTATTTCTATTGAAACCAAATATATCTAATTCTATAATTGGAAACCTATAGTTTGGGATCTGTTGTTCTGTATCTAGGAATCTTTTGTTTGTGACTAAATATGTTTTAATGTTAGAGACATTTTTATGGGACTTGTTCTCAAAATGTGAATACTGTATTATGTCTCTTTAGTTAAAAACATATTTTATGGGATCTGTTTTTCTTTAAATTAAAGACTACGCTATATCCCTGTAGTAAAGTTTTTTAATGGAATTTATTGTTTTCTACATTAAAAGACCATCCTTTAATTGTTTATTTTTTTTCTGTTACTTTGAGAAATAGTATCAAAAATGTTGACATATAAAACATTCTTTGAATTTTATATAGATTAAATAATAATATACATTGTCAACTTTTTATATGTGTATTTTATTTACATTTTTGTCAATGTATATTGTCTTTTTTTTTTTTATTCTAGCACCCAGATCATACTGTATTCAGGCTTTTGTTTTCAAAGATTTGTTCTTATTAAGAAATGACTGTTTCTCCCTAGTTTGGGCACCTATTGCAAAATTCTCTGACAACTGTACCTTACAGTGATGTGTCTGGTTTAACTAATCTTGAGTGGGATGTTGTAGATGTTTGCCCACACTTTATGACTTGTTGGCTGAAAGATTACAACACAATAGCCTCTTGCTCTTCACATGTAGAGAATGGTAATGCCATTTCTGAAGATCTTCATAATCAACTACTAAAAGGTGAGGAGTGATTTTTAATTTAATCACAGAAAGGCACGAAAAACTTTCTGAGCTAGAATGTAAGAGTACAGAATAAATAATTGGGAAAGTCTGAGTTTCTGACCAACTGCAGAAAATTTTCAAAAACAAACTAAAATTAAGATTTTGAATAAATTAAATATATATTTTTATAATGTTCTTACCAAATTTTTGATGAATCTTTAGATACCTTTAAACACTGCTGTTCTTCTTAACATTATTTTTGAAGCAAACTTGAAACATATCTGGTGTGAAATGTAAAATCTTACACAATTGCCATAATAAAAATACCACAAGTCCTTATACAAATGTTTTTATATTATGTTGTATTGAAATTTAGCTTGACCAGTAAAATAGGTACTAAATATTTTAGCCATAACTCTTGTTGTTGTTATTGCACACCTTTGTGGAAGTAAAGGGAAGCCATTTTCTGTTTTTTGCTCTGTAGTTGCTCACAATGGATAAACATTTTATACCATTTTCTATTAGATCAATCTAATTCTAATTTCAGTTATTTCACTCTATATGTATTAAGCTAAAATCACTTATCTTAGGTTTAGCTACTTTTGAGCTTTTTAAATTTTTTGTATCTACGTTTTTACATACTTTTGAAGGACCCTTTATCTAAATTAGACATGTGGATTTAAGTGATCTTCTTTTATATCTGTGTTACATTTTATTTTCTCAGAGTTGAAAATTACTTCCTCTGGTTTGTATATTATTCAGATTTAACCAGTGAAGTCTAATATTGAAACCAAGCTGATTTTGTCCAGGTTAGGTTATAATGTCTGTTTCATCAATATTATTTTTGATTGATATTTTTCATTAGAGATTTTATAGTTAAATTTTCCATTTTCTGGACCTATAGGCTATACCTAAATTTATTCACTCTATCAGCCACTTTTTGTTTATATGAAGAAAAGGTTTTCTTAAAGATAACTGTATAATACTCCTTTTTTATGTTGTGTACCCCCAGACAGTGGGTTATCCCTGTTGCATATCATTTGTTGAAAAAAACATAAAGGGTGGTTTATATGAATAAAAACGTTAATAAGGTAAGTCAATAATACATAAATGTTGAGTACCAGTTAATGGAATACATTGATAACTGAATGATATTGCTCCAAAATTTTGAGGTGTGGGGCTTAATTTAAAGTTTTTCAAAGGTTCTCATATACCCCCACAACATATGTTAGCAACCACTGCCCTAGATGATGTTTTGAAATCACTTTAATTATTCATCAGTGTTGACCTTGGTTTGTTCAGTGCCTAGAGTAATGATTTATTCAATGTTTAAGGAACTTTTGATTATGAGTGAATTTTATTCAAGTTTAATATGTCTATACATGACACATTTTTATAATTTAATTAATTTCTGAATAGCATTAGCTGTTTAAATTTTAAGAAAGATTAGTGCTCACAGGTTTAAATTCTGTACACTAATATACCATTTAATAAATAATTATGGTTATAGGAGAATTTTATGTTGAGTTTGAAATTAGACCTTGAATTTTTCTTAATAGAGCAGAAATTTATCTTGAAATTAATGTTTTAGTGTTTTCAGTTTTACTATCATACATTGTGGTCAATTAAATATAAAATGTTTTATACTGTTTTAAAAACATGACTGTTTCTTTTCTGTATTTTTAATTGACACATGTTTTCTTCCATACAGCTGAGTGTCACATGGCTGGATATGATCTTACTAAAGAATTGTATCTTAGTGCTTTGGATTTAGAATTGTATTCCAGGTTCGTAAGATATTAGATTTTTATGAATGAAGTAATGTAACTGTTAACTGACATCCTTTAATAAAAACATGGTTTTTCACTTGTTAACATGGTGTATGATCCTTAATGTACTTTAATTGAAGGATATTAGATTATCTGAATTAGGTAGTAGAATTGTTCCTTGACCTCATTCAGTGAAAGAGTGTTTCTCTCATGCGTTAACAAGATGTAACCTTATAAAATTATTATCAGGTTTTAATTGGAGGATATTAAATTGTCAGAATTAAGTCAGACAAATGTTCCTTGATATCCTTCGGCAAAAACATGTTTCTCATATGTTAACAAACTAATCATACAGAAAGAATTGTCAGTGCCACTTACTAGTTGGAAAAAGAACATTTCTGTGTTCTAATAAAGAGCTTTGGTCAAATATAAACATTTTCTAACAATTCCAGCATGCAATTGGCTATGTTATGGTAAAAATCTTGCGTTGATGTGTGAAAAATTACTTTCAAAACATACTTATCTCTCTCACACTATAGCTATTATTTTCGGGTTTCCTTCCTTTGCCCATTTAAGCATTGGTCTGATTTTTTCTTGTTTGCTACAGTCTTTTAATCCCCACTTAATTGCCCTTAGTGATATTTGTCTCATGAAACTCTTCACCTACATCAGTGCATCTTCTATCCTGATACTGTATATAAGCACCTCATTCAGATAATATTATCACTTTTTCTTGACAAAGCATTCACTACGATAATTGGAAATACTTTGAGCATACTTTGTGTTACCTAGTTGATTTTCGTTTAAGAAAATAATTATAATATATTTTTTTTCGTTTGGAAAGCTGATATATGGCATGAATTCTCGGATTACTGTTTCCAGCATTGAGGCAAATCAAATCTCTCCTATCCCACCTCTGATATTTAGCATCGCTCAACAATTGGGGAAGGGAGTCACTCTCAGTTGAGGCTGTCCATGGCATTATTCGTAGTGAGATGGAGAAATATATTCGGACGGGTGGCGTTTCTCCAGGGGCCTCTGAGGCTGCACTTGCAGGCAATCCTGGAGAGAATTAAGATTTGCTTTTTCCAGCACCTTCCTTCCCTTCAGTTGGTCAATCGAGTGTGTGATGTTTTGGGTCTCTCCCCGGTTTCTTTTGAGTCTGCACCTTCCTTGATGCCAGAAAGGTCTGAGGGTGGATACTTAGTTCTTCCTCCATCCCCTGATATTGCAGTTTATGCAGGGAGGTTTACTGCTCAGTTACATGAAGGGACAGCTACGTGTTGTCTGCCATGTTTGTTGGAACAACATGCTTTAGTCTACCACTGACAGGTGGACGTGTATTTAGACTCTCAAAGAATAGACCCTCTCCTGGAAATGTTGGTTTCCAGAATAGAGTCTGGGGTCAACCAGAATAGATCACAATTTTCTAGAATTTGTCTGTCTCTACCTTACACATCTACCTTAGTTCGATTGTCAGCTTCTGCACTTTCCCTAGTCTCTCGGTTGGTATGTTGTTGGGTAGAGATGTGTTGATGGAGAGCATTCGTCTTCTGGCTACCACCCTCAGTGAGTTATGTGAGGCTTCCTTTCTCTGACCCTTGATCTTTGAGGGCATTCCAGTCTTTGGAATCTGCATTCACCCATCATCATTGACTACTTGACTTTCCTCGACTCCTACAGGGGGGCATAGTTCTGCTCCTGTTCAAATGTCCTGACATCAGCCCCTCGGTCTATTGGTACCAAGAATAGATTCTGCCCATATCCACAAGGTTCCTCCAGTTGGTTGAAACGCTGGCAGCGATGACCACTTTATACCATTGGGGTCTGTGGGGGCTTCGCTCCAAGAAGTTCTGGATGTCATGGCATCAGGTTTAGTCATTCAATTCTCATCTCCATCACTATCATAGACCATTATTGATAGTGTTTCCACCTCCCACAGATCCTCAGATTTCAGAACTTTGTTCCAGGGCTATCAGAGGTTTGTTGGTCAAGGGGGCAGTGGAGAAAGTCATCCCAGTTCTTCCAGGGTTTTATTCCTGTCTCTTTGTTGTGCCCAAGAAGACAGGAGACAGGTCATCAATCTTTCTCGTCTAAATCAATTTCTAGATTCTTCAAAGTTCATGATGGAGTCATTCCTCACTCTGTATTGGCATTTTTCACCGGGCCTATGGATGACCAACTTTGATATCACCTATTCCTATCTACACGTTCCCATAGTAGAGTTGTCCCAACACTATCTGCATTTTGTGCATAAGGGTAAGTTGTTGCAGTTCAGAGCTTTACCCTTCAGACTAGCATTGGCACCATATGTGTTCTGCCAAACTGTACAAGCTTTTTCTCATCACCTCCGTTCCCTAAGCCTGTGCACACTCCATTAAATGGACAACTGGTTACTGCTGACACCATCTTGTCACACCCAGCTTCTACTTTTAGAAGCAACCAAGGCAGTCTTTGTTATCAGAGCTGAAAAATCTATTTTCACTCCAACTGAAGATATCATCCATCTGGGTGTTTTTTCAACATGTATTTCAGTTGGGCTTGGCAGACTCCCATCCAGCTCCACGCTATGGAACAAACAATCTGAGTGTTACTCGCATCTCCTTTTCCCACTGAGCGGATGGTTTTTTCTCTTTTGGGGATGTGGACATTACTCAAATCTCTCATTTTTTGGGGATGAGTGCACATGAGACCATTCAGTGGTCTCTGCATGACCAATGGATCATGAACAGCAA